ATAGACGCTCTGTGGGCCTTAGTCCCCAGGCTAGGCTATATAATTGAACTGACATTATTAGCTGCCACTATGTGGGCTGTGGGCCGTTTAATCTTTCTTTTTTAAGAAGCCCATTTAATGAATTGGATTGCACTAATAGTCTAATACCGTCATCAAAATTTGGAGCAAATTACAAGTTGATTACCGAACTTTAATTTTTAGCAAATATTTCACAAATACTCTGGCTTAATTAAATTAGCCATCGTTGATCTACATCCTCCATTCAATCTAAGCATATAAAAAAAATATAGAGTTATTGAAATATAGAAAATAATTGTTTACCACATTTCTTGAAATTACCCTCCCTCTAGAGACTAGAAGACCTCTACTCCACATATTGTATCATTTTTTCACAAATATCACTAGCGTGGCCCCGGCCATTTGGCCGAAAAAATGTGAGGTATGAAATTTGATAATGTAATGGGCTGTATAGCTTATTGTTGTATAGTTTTTTTTGGGAAATACGTGATAGAAATAGTGAATTTTAGTAGGAAAGAGACATGAATTATGCAACGAATCAAAAATCAGCCTTATGAACCAAAATCAAGTATCTGTTACCTTGTGAAACAATATTGTTTCTGGTAATATGATGAGGTGGAGTAAGTTCTATAGAACCGAATTCCAGAAAATCGAATAAAAATTTGACTATCCCGCCGGTTTACGGGAAATGAGCATCTCACAATCGTTGCTAGCTTTTACTCGGCATGTTGGCCGATTAATTTGCTTTATAAAACTTTCATCTTGTCATCATTGTGCTTTCTGGTTTTTTGTCAAGCCATGATAAAATCTAAAGAAATCAAGAATGAACAACACGATTTGGGATAGGAACCATTGTCCCTATATCCCTAGAAAATGGTGGTAAACACGGACTTACCTGCCAAACTGGTTTGGATTGAGATTTTTATCGGGTATCAGGGAACCATGTGATTATAAATTAAACTTGATCAAAACGGGCCAAAACTTGTAATTCAGCCTGTTTGACCGACCCATGCCAAACTCTAATTATTCTTTACTTTTAAACTTTCTATTTGAAAATAAAAAATAATGAAAGAAAAGAGATGACTGCAATTCGCCATTTGCACATCACCAATTCGGGAATAAAACTATAGAATTTCGAAAGGAAACTGAAAATATTTAGGATCGTTTTAATGTTAAAAATAACCAAATAGATCTTTCTGTTTAGTTTTTTTACTAACAAATACCAAACGATTCCCTATAATATACACTGTAATTTAATCATTATGATATCAAATAATTACATAATATATATTTGAAATTATAAAACTTGGACTAATTGGGTTGGTCGAGGTTGAACTATTGAATAACTTTAAAATACAATATATTTTAGCCACTAAGATATAAAATAATAGCATAATATATATTATGCTAGAGAAATAGCTTGTTCTAGAATGGCAAACCCATTTTGTTCATTTGTTTTACTTGATGGGCAAATCCCGTGTAGGTCAGGCCCATTCAACTCTTTTATTTTATGATTAGCGGTTAGCCCATTAGAATCCATGCATTAGTTTATTGTTAATTTTTTTTCTTTTTAGCAATAAAAAGGAGTATTGTTTTTGCCTTTTCATATATATTTTACCACCACGGAGAAATAAAAAGGACTTAAAGGAAAAAATTGACACTCCTGGACCCGTTTAAATCTACATGTGTACGGTAAGTTGGCCCGTTCCACAGAGGAAAAAGAAAAAAAATTGACACTACCTATTCTACCCTTTCTACAAACGCTCCTGGAGCAGGGAATTTGAAATGGGGGAAGGCTTTTTTCTCTCTGCGATTATATATTTTTAATTTAAAAAGATACAACAAATGTACTTAGTGTGATTGATTATGATCTTTGCTTTTCTTTAAAGTGGTCATGGTTCGAATCCTAGTAAGTTTTTTTATAATGAATAAAAAAAGAAATTGTGAAGACAAAAATGTCCTTCCTACTTTCACTCTGGATGCATGAAATTTGAAATGGGGCTTCAAGTTTTCTCATTTGGCTTTTATTTATTGTGTAGATTGTTATAAATAAGGTTAATGGTATACTTGGCCCCTGAACTGAACTATGAAGATTTTACTATGGTGACACCTATACTATTTTTTTTCCTAATATAATCCTTTTAAACGGTAAGAATCATATTTAAAAAAATGTACTTTGGAAACCATGATAGAAAAATAAATAATTCAATAGTCATAATAGGAAGAAAAAATTGTAGTTGAGAAGCCAAATATACTATTAACTCTTACAAATACACCTCTAACGAACTCACAAGTAGGGTGGAAATCGGTACGGTATCGGTATTCCAATACCAAATACCGAAATCCCGAATATCGAATTACACCCTAAAATCAATCTCAATCTCAATCCCTAAATAATTTCGGTATCCCAATCCTTAAATATTTTGGTATCCTAATCGGTACTTCGGTATCCCAATCGGTATTATCGAATACAAAATTAATTACCTTTGCAATTAATAATTAAATATATAAATTAGTTTTTATTATTTAATTTAGGTCAAAGAGACAAAGCAAAGAGTTATGAGTTTGCCAAGAGTTAAGATATGGATAAGGAGAATGGAGGAGAGGTGACATCTCAAGTTCTTGTCATTGGTAATCTTTAATCTGACGAATTGGAGGTTATGAGACGACTAATACTAGTGTTTGCATTTTGGTGTTATGAAAATTACAAGAGATTAGGAGAGAGACGAGAGTAACTTAAATTGGATAGTCAAATTTGAGTTGGATGGGGGCTTCTAAGTTGTGAAATAGTGATGGAGTGATCTATAAATAATTAAATGACATTCTTGGTGGTTGATGATCGTGTAGTAGTGAATGAGAGAGTCTAGCTGAGAGGATAAAATACTCACTAACTTATATTTCGGTGTTGATCGTTATTTCGGTATATACCGATCCTGATCCCGTAATCCCTAATACCAAATAACAATAGGAATTCAATCTCAATCTCAAAAAATAATACGTGTATTCGATAATACCAAATATTAGCAAAATCGATACAGTATTCGGTATATCCCAAATACCGGTACCAAATTTCGAGCCCTACTCACAAATCACAACTCGGTTCAATGAATACATAAAATTGCAAAATGGAAAATCCGTCATTACCATTTTACCACCCATCCACCCCAAATAAAATCGATTTTAACCTGTGAAGCACGCTTCCGACACCGCAGTCGAATCATGACACGTGTCCCCACTCCCCACTAAAGCAAGTTGCTCAAGAAATCAGATGCCACCACCACCGTACCGCACCGCCGGCGGGTATAACAAAGTGGGCAGCGGCGTCACCTGGCACTGTTGATGACAACCCAACCACCGGGCGACACGTACTCCAGATGCTGGCCTTTTGTTTTGGGGTTTTTTTTTTTTTTGGTTTGGTTCGGCTGACCTGACAGATTACGGAAACTTGGAGCCCGCCATTAAAAAAAGGGCCGTTGGGGTTGGGCCGGAGAGAAATCTCATAGTAAGTTGTGATCAGGAGGAGCAGGCCTGCCTCCGCTCTGGGCTCTCTTCGTCGGAAAGGTAAAACCGGCAGTTTACTGATTGTTTTTTTTTTTTTTTTTGCTGCAGCGACAGAAGGAGAGCAGGTGAGCACACGATGGGTAATAGTAGGGTTTGCCTCTCGGATCTGGCAATGGCCTACTGGATTATCATCATCACCATGGATTATATATGATCATTAATTATTGTTTGTGTTAGTGTGAAATAGTGTACTTGTCGACTAGTGACGCGTGTGTGTGGTTCTAGGGATGGCAACGGGTTGGGTTTGGGCGCAGCAGATAGTGCATATCTGTTATCCTACCCCCAAAGTAATTCGGGTTTTACCCATACCCATACCCACTAAAGAAATGGGTAGAAAATTAAAACTATGTCTATACCCGTTCAGGTTTCGGGTATCCACGGGTAATAAATTCTCTTTATAACTCCAACAAATCTGTTAACATTCACACACGTATTCTCACATTACATAAGAAGGAAAAACACAACAATAATTCACTAGAATGAAGAACATTAATTAAAACAACACAAAATGTTATATTTATATGCTAAATAATAAATATGTTAGAGAAAAATAATGATTTTCTAGACAAAATACATGTGCATGTGTATAATCGGGCGGGTTTAGGTTGGATAGTACGAAAACCCATGTCCACCCATTACCCGCAATATTCGGGTTCGGGTTTTACCCATACCCGCTAAAGTCCTTTCGGGTTTCGGGTTTTACCGAAACCCAATTAGGTCGGATTCAGGCGGATATCCACGGTCACGAATATTTTTGCCAATCCTTATGTAGTTCGGTCGGATTGTGAGGTCCTTGTGAAGGCTGTTTTACAAGTGAACATAAGGATGACCTTGGTGATGCTCCTCTGTGATTGCATCAATGCCCATGATCCTTGATTCTTCGCCTATGGTTGAAGTCCGCTGGATCTCTCGTCGTCTCAACTTCAGGGCAGATTGGGTGGAGAGATCTCTGAACCGTTCCGCACTCTCCCTCGTGACTGGCTCACTATTCTTGATCTTATTTTTTTTTCTTCTCATTTCTAATTATGCTTTTGGTTTGTAAGACTCTACTGATTATGAATGAATTACCATCCTTCTTGTAATTATTCTTGATCATACTATATGAGATAGAAGCTTAGTCAGGTGAATCTGCAGGCAAAGGTTTAAATAGTTGATCCGCCAATTACCCATTCTAGTCCTAGAACTCAACATGTTAGTAAAACCAAAACAAACTAAAACTTGTTTCACCAAAGCATAGCTTAAAGGAGGTATAAATTGATGATTCAGTGTACGAGTTTCCATCCATAGTTAATTAGTCCATCACATCTCTAATCTCAGAACCTACATGTGTTACATAAACCCTAATTAAGGCCTAATGGGGCAGTAATTAGCAGGAGCGAGTGGACCAGGCGCTTGAGGGGCAAAGGTTGACGGGAAAAGGAGGAACATTAATGCAAAAGAGAGATTTTACACAGTAGTGGTAAGAAAGAAACAAAGAGCAACCCTAAGACACTGTTTCTCTTTCTATCCCTTTTCTCTTCTCAAGCTGGGTGGTGCTGATTAAAAGAGAGAAGAAGAAAAAGGAAAATCATAAAACCCAACAGAAAAGAGAAAGAGGGAAGAAAAAAGAAATAATGCAGAAGAGATAGAGATAGCAGGCGCAGCTGGGTTGCGTAGCTGAGGTTAAAAAGCAAACAATATACTCTCTCCCTCTCTCTCTTCTCTCTACCTCAAGAGATCTCAAAACTGAGAGATCAACAAATGGAAAGAAATTAGCAGACCACCCAACAACAAAGATCTCATCTTTCCATAGCTAGAGCTTGAAAGGAAGCTTGTTTCTTTGCTTCTTCTCTTTAGCTTGTTTAGGGGGTCCTTTTTTGTTGGATCCCTTAAGCCTCTCTAGGGTTTCTACCCTATCCATCTTTCTTTCTTGCTTCTCCCAAGAATCATCAACCTTTCTCCTTGCTTGGGTTGTTTCACAAATTTGGTTGGGATTTCACCACTGAATCTTGAAAGCAAGCAGAGAGATTACCAGCTTGTTAAGGAGCTAGCTTGGAGCAACCACTCAACCCAACAACAACAAGCATAAAAAGGTATTAACCACAAACAAAATATAAGAACTTTGAATTGTTGTTGACATAAAAGGTTATTACATGATCTAATATATTTGCCTCTTTTACTTGTAGGTTAAAGTTGCTTCAAAGGCTGCAAACCCAAAAAAAGAAAATTTTGGGGAAAAAAAAGGAGAATTCAGATATTTGCAGAAGCAGCAAGGAGGTGAAGAAGGAGAGATATATATGGGGAGGGGAAGAGTGGAGCTGAAGAGGATAGAGAACAAGATAAACAGGCAGGTGACTTTTGCCAAGAGAAGGAATGGTTTGCTGAAGAAAGCTTATGAGCTGTCTGTACTGTGTGATGCTGAGGTTGCTCTCATCATCTTCTCCAACCGCGGCAAGCTCTATGAGTTCTGCAGTACCAATAAGTAAGCATCTCTTCATTAATTATCCCTTCATCGTCTTCAACTCATTCTCTCTCATCTCAATTTTTTGTTAAAGTTCTCCTCTACCTTCTTCTGCTGTTGGATCTATTTGTGTGGGTCGATCGATCTATGCTTTGCTTTTGGTTCCTGACCATGAAATCCTAGTCTAACTTGGATTAGATCTATCATAAATCCGTGGTTACTTATTAGATGTAAGGTCATTATGGGAGAATTTAGATGGTTTCAAATGCTGGCCCCATCCAATTATTGCACACAAACATCTAAATATTGTCCATAATTATCATCCGTACTTGTGAAATTTACATTGGATTATCGATGTTGTAATCAAACATGGAAAAAAGGGGGATCTTTTGGGCTATTTTTGTTGTTCTTGAAGGGAAGAAAGAGTATTTGATAGAAGTTGGTTAGTGTTGTAATGATGAACATGGGGAACAATAACTTGGGAACTTGCTAATACCCTATGTGTCAATAGGGTGTGCAAAGAGAGAAAGGAAAATGAGAAAGTGGGATCAGAGAATGCAGGCTGGGTGTGATCTTAGAAGTCTGAGATGTGAGTTTATAAAGTGTGAGAGAGATAGATGGTCAGAGTTTGATTCACCGGTTTATCTGTTAGGCAATCCAAGGTTTCACCTTATTGATGCTGCTGCAAGTTTTCTTTCTTTCTCTCTGTGGGATCCGTAGACACAACTTTTAATAAAAGAAGACTCATAATTGGTCATCAAGTACCAATTAGTTAAACCAAACTAACAATGATGCTGATCAACAAGAGTTTATATGTTCAATGTGTTTTAATATGTGAGATTATCTCATGCTTAGAATATATGTAGAACCAAATCAACTAAAAATTTACCATATTTTAAAATAATCATGACATATACTGCAGTCATTTGACAAGTATGTAATGAGCCTTGAATTTAAAATACATGTTTCTTTTCTTTTGTAACGTTTGTTTTCTTTTTGTTGCATTTCATTATAAATAACGTGTATTTCGTAACGTATAATCTCACAATATATTTCATCTTGCATTATTATAGTTTGAGTTTTTATTATCATCTATTAAACTACTAGTTCAGCAATGCCATAACATTACCAATTCAGTGATTATCTATATAAATGAAGTGTAAAATATACAATTTATCTTTTGCGTAATAGTAGTTGTTAGCTCAGCCTAGTAATAATTTTTTTAATTTCTTCCACGTTTAGCCGTTTGGGATTGTCAAAAGGGGTTTCGATCTTTTTCTATTTTCTTTTCTTTTTTGGGTGGTGAAACTAGAGGTTTTTGTTTTAACAAGGCGAATCTGCCTAGTTTGGGAGCATTGGAAATAGTTAGCGGTTCAAACAGTGGGAATGTCATTCCATCATATCAAAATAGAGAGTATCTCCCCTCTTGTCAAAAGAAATCTCCATAGAATCTCCTGTTTGTGAAAGTTTGTGCTAGCTATGAAATCCTAATTAGAGATTGCATGGTTAAAGATCCTCCCCATCGGACTGTTCAAATACTACTTTAAGCCTACCTAGTTATTCAATTCACACCAACATTCAAATGGTTAGCTAGCTAGGGTTTCATTATGAGATGAAGAGTGCATAAAAATTGTATCTTTCTGCCATATACTATAGTTATACTGTATAGTATATAGTCCTTTCATTTTACATGTTTGTTTGCGTGTTCTAATAAAGATATACGATTAATTTATTCAAGGACCGTTTTAATAATAACACGATGTTGAATATTATATATGAAATGAGGTTGGTGGTTTCACCTTTGGTTAGATTGTTTATATCGGATATTAGTATGTTTATTTGTATCCTTTCTTTGTAATTTGAGTATCCTTGCGGTGGAATTTCATAGGTTCCTATAATTAATATCACCAATTTTTCAATCGGTATTTCAGCATGCTCAAGACACTGGAAAGGTACCAAAAGTGCAGCTATGGAGCAGTGGAAGTGAATAAACCTGCAAAGGAGCTCGAGGTAATACTATACCTACGCCTTATATCTATCATTGATTTGCTATAGCTATAGAAGTGAAGGGCCATGATAGTGTGTCAGTACGAACTTTGCATGGAGTTTTATGCTAATGAATTCCTGGCTACATTTCGTAATGAACAGAGCAGCTACCGTGAGTACTTGAAACTGAAGGGTAGGTATGAAGGCCTACAACGAACCCAGAGGTAAAGAATGAAGTCAATATAGCTAGTGAATCAACAAATATATTGGGAGAAATGAGATTGTGCATTAGCAGTTTGTTTGAGACGTGCGTGGTGGTTCAATGCAAAGATTTGGTTATAACGATGACGATGATGGTGGTGCAGGAACCTCCTTGGGGAGGATTTAGGCCCATTGAACACGAAGGAGCTGGAGCAGCTTGAGCGTCAGCTGGAAGGTTCATTGAAGCAAGTCCGCTCCACTAAGGTATAGTAACCATCATGTTACCAGCCAATATATATACAATTTCCATGGCTGCTTGTGTGAGATGGATAAGTCTGAAAAGTTTCTTCTTGTAGACCCAGTTCATGCTTGACCAGCTCTCTGATCTTCAAAACAAGGTAAATCTCCTAATTTCATCTCAATCCCACCTCCCAAAAGCTACAAAGAAGCAGGCTTTCCAAGCTGGGTACTTTGGCTTTGTCAACTTCTGGTGAAGCTCACACTTTGTATATGGTTCAATTTGACTACCAGGAACAGCTGCTGCTTGAATCCAATAGAGCTTTGGCAATAAAGGTTATCTCTACTCTCTCTAGCTATACATTCTTTTTGTACTTGTTAGAGATTTTCCATATTTCTCTAATCACCACTCATTTGGTTGTAAATTGCAGCTGGATGAAATCTGTTCGAGGAACAGCATGCGACCTTCCTGGGAAGGAGAGGATCATCACAACATGTCCTATGGAGACCACCATCATAATCCACATGCTCAATCCCAGGGGTTTTTCCAGCACTTAGATTGCAACCCAACTTTGCAAATCGGGTACTCTTCATTTCAACTGCTGTGATTAGAAATCGATGATTATGGTGTTCAGGATTTACCTTATAGCTTCAGTAAAAGTCCTTATCATAAAAGAACCAACTCCCTTAATGGCTCTATGCACCTTGATTTGCAGGTATAGTCCAGTAGTAACAGACCAAATGACTGCCACAACTCATGCTCAGCAGCAGCACCAGCAAGTGAATGGGTTTGTTCCTGGATGGATGCTCTAATAAAAAGCTCTCAGTAGCTTACATATCTACTTGGAGGGGCCAAGAGGATGGATAATTTGGCAGCTTTGCATTCTCCCTACATATATATATCGCCTCATTTTAAAATGTTGTTCTATCATAAGAAGACTGCAAACCCTTCTTTATCGATAATGGCCTACTGCTCTTACCAAGTACTCTACTTTTCTGTGGCTAGCGACCATATATGTAAATGATGATGATTTCTGCAGATAACATAAGCACTCAACAGCTACCTTTGTGCTATTTGTGTCATCTCTCTACGCTCCACTATGTCATGCAGCCTTTCTTTTTTAAGTCATCTTCACTTATGTAAAGCGACATTGTAAGCTTCAAAGCAACAACCTTTGAAGGTCTGTTGTATATCAGTATGGACTATTAGTAAATTTCATCTTACGGACGTTGGATTTGGATTTTGAATGACTTGCCAAATGTAGGCAAAGTGGTACTAAATTTGAGGATTTGTCGATTTTCATTTGAAGATGTGAGTTTATATCACGAATTTGGTACTTCAAAATTTGATGCACAACCATGGATATTTGAAATATCTCAGATCCAAACAATTTCTTAATAAGAGTTCAATAGAAAAGGAATGAAATTAGCCATCATGATTGCGTACCACAATTTAAGAAATCTACATTTTAATGAATCATGCGGTGGATTTACACTAGTATCTAGATTGCAAAGGTGTCTCTCAGTTTGTCAAAGAATCAAAGGAGTGAGCAATGTTGGCACTCACACAAGTACATTGACAATAAGTGATTCATTTAGTGAGGTTTGAGTAGAAAGAGATAAAAAAATTTCTATAATTATCAGATTATGGAGTTATTCATCATCACAATTTGAATTGTGATCGTGAGAGAGTGCTAAAAATTTATGTATGAACATCTGTCAATTACTTGAATTATTGAAACCAGATAATTTATAAATAATGAGAATTAAGAAGTTTACATTTCCGTCGTAATGTAATAATAGTTCCAAAGAAAAGGAATAATTGCGTTGAAACTACCAAGAGATTAAACTTTTTTTACCTTGCATTTGACCAAAATATTGCATAAGTATTCCTTTCTTATGTCTTCTGACTTCTGCCAAATATAATGAGTTAGCTGATGGATCGGGTAACTATAGAATAATGCAGTGGGTCACAAGTCCAACAATCACTGCCAACCTTGAAACCAAATTAATAACACAAAGAAAATGTTGGGCATCACACCTTATTTATATGATCAGTGAAGTTGATTAACTTAATTATGGATGCTCTAGTGGGAGAGCTAGCTAAGCTAATACTTCCTACAAAACAAAGTAACAAACAACCATTAATGATAGTCAAAGATGAATTATAATGAGCTCATACTTCTCATTAATCGTTAATTAATCACATTGGCTACCTATAGCTGACTAGCTGTATAGCCTTGTTTGTCACGAACGATTACTACGCATTTGCTTATACATAATTATCAACATCAAGATTCTTGGTTGAATTAATACAAAAACATAATTCAACTGCTAGATAAACAAGTCTCGTTGTTACGTACAATTTCATTGGAGCTCGTTACCATAATTAATCTCGTTGATGAATCTTCGTATACACATGCACGTAGTGTTGTTTATTTGATACTTTTCTTAAATTCTGGTTCTTCTTGAATCGATTAGTAATCTATTTGTAAGTCCATCATCTATAAAAAAATATGAATGGTAATTCGAATCTTCCATCTTTTTATAACTTTTTGTAGTTTTTAATGATTGAATACTTAAGTTATTTCATCTTACGTAGGAACTGAATCAAATCATTAGTGATCAGTTTAGTCATCGTGAAAAAATGGACCCCTTTGTGTTTACTAAGCAACCTCCTCACTTCTAAATTCTAATAACTGACCCCTAATGGCCTACTAATTGACCCCCTAATGCTAGTGTTGGAATTTTGAATGGTGTGAATGAAAATGAAAGTGGAAAGAGCCAAGATAAGTTCTTGAAGTATCACGTTGGTGAGATGTGAGAAGGCACGACCTCGAATTCATTCGATTTGATGTAATATGTTGGTAATCGGCTAAAATGGTTTGTGTAACCAATCGGACTAAACCGAACCAAGTTGAACTTAATTGAACCGACCAGATATGACGATTGGAATAACTCAACCGATCCAACTTCTGTTAGAAACGGAACAACAACAAGACCGAGGATACCGAATCTGGAGCTGAGTCGCGGACTAGGTCGCTCTCTTTAAGACGTTCGCGGCACTGCCCTCGATGCGCACGGCAGACTATCAACCGGTCGTCTCCAGGATAAAACAGCTCCTCTGTGTACTCGCGGTTTTGTGCGAAAACCGGAGCTCTCTGAACACTCTCTATTCTGTTTATGCTCGTTGTGGTGTATTTAGAGGGGCTGGGGAGGCGGCTATTTATAGGAGCCGAACCCCTAGGAATATACCCTCTTGCTTGGGGAATAAGTCGGATTAATTAAGGAAGATAATTACTTCCTTAATTAAAACCGTCGGTTAGGATAAATCCTGCGGAGATTATCCTTCGAATATTCCTCAGAATAACCGATTAATAATTAATTATTAAATAATTAATTTCGTTCGGAATTTCTCCAAAAATATGTATATAGTCTCAAGTGATCCATCCAACCGACCGACCGGTCGGACGGTCGGACGGACGGCGCGTGTGGTGGTCCGTTAGGTCCTCCCTCTCCCACAAAAGTGGGTCACCCCAAGGGGCATGCCCTTAGGAGAGAGGCTCCTATCTTTATACTCATTTCACCAAGTAAAACTACCAATGTGGTAGTTTTTCCACTTGAGACTCTATAGCTTTCAAAGCTATTCATACACATTTCCAACAACTTCCATGGGTCAGACCGATACCATGGTTGAGAAACTTTAAACGAACCATTGCAATGGTTAGGGTGTAACCACCCACCTGAAGAGTTACTTCCCTCCGTACGCACCCCTTCTTTTTTTATAAATAGCACCAAACCCCTACGGTTTTAGCAACAAGACAATGCGATTTGTCCTCTACCGAAACTCTCTCAAAACCAAAATCAAAGAATGCAACGAAACGACGACACCAGTCTCTCTCAGATATCGGCGCTCGCCTCTGTTTCCGGGGACTCGATGCAGCGGCTGGCGGCCCACTTACCCTCCGCCACGCGCCTCCTTATCAGGCGGTGGCCGGGGATCTACAGAGCCGTCAACCACACGCGCCGCTGCCATCTTCCGGTTCGATGATGATGACGTCGATTCCGCGGCGCGTGCCCTGTTTTCCCAAGCCTTCCCTTACCTCAGCTTCGCCTACGCCATCATATTAGCCCGAACCTTGCTCCAGGTGATAACCCACGAGCGGGTCGTCCATCTTGTTGACCTCGGGTCGGGGGATCCGAAGCTTTGGGTCCCATTGCTGCGTAGTTTCGCCCGGCTGTCCAATGGGCCGCCGCATTTGAAGGTGACTTGCGTGTCAAGCAACCGAACCGTGCTGGAGAGGTTAGGGCATAGGCTTGTGAAAGAGGCTGAGATTCTTGACCTCCCTTTCCAATTCATTCCCTTGAATGTCGCCGTTCAGGACCTCACCCCGGGTTTGCTCGAGATCCGGACCGGCGAGGCTCTCGCCTTTATCTCCATACTACACCTCCACACACTTCTAGCTGATGATATGATCATGATGTGGTTCTTATGATAACGTGATTAGAAATGGCAAGCGAATGAGTACATTCCTGAAGATGGTTCAGTCGATGTCTTCCAAATCGTTGTTCGTTGTGGAGCAGGAAGCGAACCACAACTCGAATCGGTTGGTGGACCGATTTGTTGATGGATTACATTACTATAGCGCGATTTTTGATTCGATAGACGCAACATTTGGGAATACTAGACCGACTAGAGAGCAAGCACAAGGGAGGATTATGTTGAAGGAGATGTTTGGGAGGGAGATTGAGAACATGGTGGCATATGAAGGGCTGGATAGGGTGGAGAGGCCTGAGCGATTCTCGAGATGGGAATTGAGGATGACTCGAGTTGGCTTTCGACCGGTCCGAATGTGGTACAACTCGGATGAAGATGCCAAGCAAATGGTAGGTGCTTTTGGGAAAGAAGGGTATAAGATTGTGAGTGAGAGAACGAGTATGATGATTTGCTGGCATGATCGTCCGTTATATGCGGTCACTATATAGACAAGTTGATCGATTAATTAATTTTGTCATCATAATACGAAATAATTAATCAACTAGATCATAACTACATGTCTTGTTTTCTAACGGTCATTTTTACAATTGTATCTTGGAATCAAGGTCCAAGGTTGTAAGGAATGACTATGGAAGTTTAGGATGTATCGTAAGGTTCCAAGTGAGAAATGGACAGCTACATAACCCATTATAAATTTCCATGCTTGTCATTTTCATATATGTTAGAAAACCAGCCGACTGTCCGGTTCTACCACAAAATTTGTCCCAACACATCAACCACAATGTAACATTAGAGAACTTAGGAGCTATAATTTACATATTTGCCAATGTCGTAAAAACCAGATCGAACTGGAGAAGTGAGAAGTTCAGTATCCAAAGTTTATCAGGCGTTGAACCGTTAAGAAACCATAATCAGTATTTACAGTGCTCATTCATTAACATGTGAAGGACTGCCGGATGAGAGTAAACATGCTGCAAAGGTGCCAATGGTTCTTGCTGTTACACTTGATTGGTTTTCAGTCATAACAGAAGTACAGGAGGAAATCACTGGATAGGCAAACATTTGACAAGAGAACGAGGGAGAGCGGATAAACTACCAATCATGAATAGGCAAGGTAAAGAGGGAGAACGAATCTGCACTAGGCTCTTACTCTTCTCTTGAAGCAGGATCCATTCCAGTTGAAGGGCTATCAGCAAAATATTCTTGATGCTTGGCATTAACACCATACTAGCCACCAAAAGATCACAAACAACAGTCAGGAATTGCAATTCAGTCAACATATGACATCATGAAGAAAGAAAACACATCTCGACAACCTCCAGCTTTTGACGACAAAATTGTCAAAATCAGTTTTTGTAATCTCTTCCAGAAGAAGTTTTTCAATCAACATTTTGGATACAGGAAATTGGGCACGAGGCAATGAAAATACCGAAAAAAATGTTAAATCAGTTTCTGAAATCTCTTCCAGAAGAACCTCTCCAATCAACATTTTGGAAAGAGGAAATGGGACATGCAGCAATGACAATGCTAACCTCACGCAGAGCCCTCGAAAGGTCCTCCATTGTCAAGACGAGCCTCTTGTCCTGTTGACACGACAAATTAGCACCAATGGAAACTGTAAGAAATCCTAGCAAAGAATAAAAGTAAGAAGTAACGGGTTTGCCACACCTTTGCCTGCTTATCCCTTTTGTCCTTAACTACTGCTGCTGAGCGTGCTTTGCAATGCCTGCACAGGAATCATAAAAGTTATAACTATCACCAGAAAGAGTAATAAATCTCGCATCCACTTGAAGATCGAGAAACAAGTTCCCAAAAAAATCACATAAGTGAGACAATATGGAAATCATACTCAACACAGTAATTTTCTTTAACAGATAGCACAAGTGGTAAATCACTGCATTTAGAAGCTAAGCTTCTCGCAAAGTTTTCAGCAAGATATTCGCTGTTCAGCCTAACTTCCATGTATGCATTGTGTCTCAGAATTCAGAGACATAAGTTACATAACTAGCAGTAGTCATTTAACTCATTATACATTGTGAGACATGAGCAAAGAGAAACCTTTATAAACAGTCCTAGACAAAGAGAATCAATTCACAAGTTGAGACTGAATCAAAATGCTTATTCAGAGACATAACTAGCAAGCTGAATCTGCACTATGTCAGAAGTAACAGCTGTCAATGACATGAAAGCCTAAGCCACAACAAAACGTCGAAAGAAGCTGAGGACACTGGAAATTCTATGGCCCTAGGTCAAGTGCTTGAACAAGTGCAGCCGAAAATAGGTAGAAAACATATATGTGTAGCTTAACATCGAGGCGGTCTCTAGGTGAACAGTCGGGCAAATGTAAAGGAGAAAACGGGGGAAGAAAATGAAAACTGGATTTCAGAATGCAAACATAAAAGCTAGGTTACTTACTGCAGAGCATCACTGGCAACATCAGCTACAAACTTCTGAGTAGCAACGGCAACCAATCTGATTCTGAAAGTGGACAGCACACCAGGTCAGAGAAACGGCAACTCCACAAACTGAGTCCGTACATTTTAATCAGGAAATATGTCAACGAGATTCACATTCTAAAGGAACAAATCAACCCTTAGACTTCCCCCAAATGCAACAAATAAACCAAAAGACACATGATCTACATTGAACCATCAAACCAGGGTATCAATAGTATGCACACAAATGATAAGCAACAAGAAGCATCATCTGCAGAAAGACTAAAGCCAAAAGGACAGCAGAACAATTGGTAAAAAGTTCACCAGTTTTCCTAAACGAATTCTGATACCCTAATCAGCTTCATAAGGTCACCCAGTTTATCCGACTAAGAATGGTATCACTAGATGCAATCTCTCATAGCAAGTTGAGACTACAAAACTGTCTACATTTACTAATCAATTGGGAATAGTTTATCACTGAAACCCTAACGCAAGTAGGCAGAAAGATTAAGACTTTGAGCAGGAAACCAGCAAAAAAGAAACTAGAATCAAAAGGAAAACGCTGAAAGCCCTAAACGACAGAAGTTCAAGAGGAATTGTGAAAAGGGGAAAATTAGCAACACCAGTGAAGAGGGGTGAGAAGAAGTACGGACGTACAATCTAACGTCGGGAGAATGAAATCCGCTTTTCCCCAAGAAATGCTCCACCAATTCATCGGGAATCTGAGGGGGGAGAAGACAAAAGCGTTAGTCACAGAAGGAAGAGGAATTAGAGCAGAAATTTCAATGGGTTGATGAAAGGGGAGTCGGGTAAATCACCGTGGGAGTGTAATCCATCAAGGAAGAGAGGAATTCCGCCAGCACTGCGTCATCGTCGTGTCGCCTTCCATCGCCGAGCTGCTGCTGTTGCTGCTGCTGGTTCATGTCTTCTCCTTTCCTTTCCGCCGGTCGCGCGGTGTTGCAGTTAATTTTGTTTTAGTGTACACTCTTTTTTATACGAAGCGTGCGAGACGGTACTTTCCCGGGTTAACCAACATCATCACTTAAGTTTCATCTAGTGATGAAATAGTGTATAAACTTCAAAATGTCGCCAAAATGGCCACTCAGTTTTAGAATAAGCTAGTTATGAGTTATGACACAACCCGCTCGGTCCGAGAAATCAGAATCGAGTTGAAGCTTTTTGTAACCTAGAAGTCGAATGATCTGAATCATTGTAATCATTACTTTTGGGTTGGGTGGGTCAATGGGTCACCCGCTCCAGAATAGTCCAGATCCTATTTATCTAGCAAAAAAATGATAAAATTACTTATGAAATTCGAACATTGTTTAAAAACAGTTCATTGCGATTTGAAAAACAAGTCTTGTAGTGTAGGAGTAGTCATTCATGTATTTCTTGTAGTATTGTTACTAACTAGGTGTTTTTTTTGGATGTGTTGTGTATTTTGTATTTTCATTCATTAATTTGTGAGGATTAAAATATATGTAATTGAGATGTGTTAGGTAAATTGTTATCATGCATCTAAGTAATTTGTGTTCTTTGAAAATTCAAGCGTACTTGTTCTTGTTTCTCGAAATGTTAATAACGAGAATAGCTCGAAAAACTATCAAAAATCAATCAATTCGTTATGATCTGATAGCTACGACCCGTTATTTTTAAATCAACCAATACGACTCAACTTCCTGTAAAAAAAAAAACTGCGAGTTCTACTTGATTTTCACCTTATGACAACCGTTACAAATTCACTTAACTTTGAAGTGTTACAAAGTGGTCATTGGAATTTTTGGGTTATAACATAATGGTCATTCATTGTCATCTTTACCTTTATATTTCTCTTATCAAGTTTTGAATATTTAGTCACCTAACTTGTTTTCATCTAAAGTTTGTTTCTATGTGGACCTATAATACCTTTCATGCTTTAATTCCGACTGTGTTCTGATTATGTTAATTGATGTGTATGAGTTGATGCTCGTGGCTTATAAGTTGAAACTACAAGTGTTTCATCTACATATATGAACGAATTCTTTTTATAGTTTCTATTTTGCCATGACTATAGAATTGATTGCACAATGTTACTCACAATAGCATAATTTCACCTTTGAACTTGAAATTATAGATACATTTCTTGCCGTATGTAAGAAGCCTTGTACAAATTTAAAATGTGGTATATGTTACTTTCCGATCTATAAAACTCTCCTTGAACTTATTAGTTTATTTTTAGTACAGTATTAGAGTCCGCAATTAGAAAGGCCGCTGAATCATTATAACTCATAATGTAACCAATCAATATTTAAGCACAATATATTTAACATTCCTACAAACCTCAACCCTTAGAAGTTAGAATGTTCGAATAATAAAACAGTTGAAAAAGGCATTAAACCACAACAACAATTTTATTATTTCAAATCCTTACACACATCAAACAATAGGAAGTTACATAAACTCATAAGATGGGCCAAGTCCTATCAACTTCTTATCTCCCAAGTGTGAAGAAGAAAAGTGAATTTTAAAAAAGATCAAAGAGAGATTGAATTCAAGAGAAGGAAAGGGGAAAACAAAAATTGAGACTAATTAATCAAAATGGTTCAAAGAAAATTAAGCTTTTTTGCCCTTATTGGCAGCCCCAATTGGGTTAAGCTCGTCCCAAGCATCGATCCAAGTCACCATGGCATCAGCCAACTTATCAAAGTAAGGGTCAATTTTGCCAAGCTTGTCCTTCACCATCTTGGCTAGCTCAATATAACACTTCTGAACAGTTGTACAATCCTTTGGAAGTGACACAGCTTGGAAAAATGGTATGATCTCTTCTTGCCAGAAGATGCCCTTGTACTCTTTCCTCAAGTTCACAAATGGGTTGCTAGCCTTGCTGTGGTAGATGTATGGAAGACCAGTCTTCACCCCAAGCCCTAGGTGATCGCAAATCACCTAAAATATACACATAAAAGTACATAAACGTTAGTTCGATGTCACAAAAACCTAATATGATGAACCACCGCGAGACATACTCGTTGAACGATATATCACTAATAACCGCGCATCATTGGATATCGATCATTACCTTGATACACCAACCAGCCCACATATCATCGTATCGACCGATCGGCTGGCCATCGCCCATGAGACCAAAGTACATTGCAGGGCCAATCAACTCACGATGGAAGGCCAAATTCATACCACACATTGGGAACAAGGTGCCCTTGGGAATGGTCATCACAGCATCCACATACCTAATTAAATGCATATTAAGCATAAGTATGCAATCATTAGCTTAGTTAACAATAGAGTGTGACAAGAACCAGTTGATCTCGCACGTACCTAGTGTTTCTCTCGAGAGGTTTGACGAGTTGAGTAGGTGCATCGTAATCGGGAATGTTCAACCAGAGGCCATGAGAGACTGCAGTTGGCACACCCTCCCTAAGGCTGAAAGGGTACCCTCGAACGAAATCTGCTCCTTCTCTGAAAGGGTCGTATAGGGTATTGAAAAAGAATGGAGTTGAGGGGCAGAGCAAATTCTTGATGTGTTGCTCAAGAGCATTGATTGCCTTTCCTGTAGGATCCTTGGCGACCTATAATCAAACAAAAAACACATTTACATTGGTGAATCCATAGTACCATATAACAATTATTATTTCCAATCTCAAATCTAACTTTGACCCATGAAGATAGGGATGAAAGTTAGTAACATATGATCTCGATTTAGTAGTTACAGATCAGGTCATGAAATCGCCTATTTTAACTGTCAATGCATATATAACATATTACCTGAGGTACCCACAAAGTTAATATAATCAACATCGATCCAAAAAAAAATCAAATCTTATTTTCTCATAACAATTCAAGATCAGTATGAAAATAATAAAAAAAATAATTCGGAAAGTAATATAAAAAAGAGATCTCAAACTTACAAAGCAATCGTCATCAATGGTGAAGATGTACTTCTTCTTGGACACCATATAACCAAAGCAACGGCACGCAGAGTCCTTGAACGAGATACACGAGGCCTTAGGGCCGAGAATCTTGTTTATATCGTTCCGATTGTAGAGCTCGTAGTCGAAACCATCGGGAACCTTGATGGTCTTGGTAGGATCACCATCCTGAACAATGATCAAATGGTAAGGCTCAAAGAATGGCCTCCACATCTCCAAGAAATCCAAGTTTCTAATGGTTGGGATCACGATGTCGAGCTCATCTTTCAACAACGCGACCGTTCTCACAGCCGACTTAGTGTCGGTTGCTGGCTCGACCATCGTTTGATGTTTGTGTAGTTCTATGAGAAGAAAATGAGAGTAATTTCGAGCCAAGAGATAAAAGGATGGAGTTTTGGGCACAAGGGAGATGAAGCTATAAGATATTGTTCAAAGGAAGTTTATATATATGGGTAGAGAAGGCGTGAAATGTGGCAGAATTATAAGGAGAAGGCGTTGAGGTGTCGGGGAGGAACTGTTCAAAGACAATGCAATTTTGGAGAGCAAAATGCTCTCATTGCCAAACCGCATCAGACTTTTTCAGTTTTCTTCTTTGCCTCGTTTTCTTTTGGTAACAAATGCAATAAATTCTTCTCATTAGTTATGTCTTTTCTAAAATTTATGTTTTTTTTATAATGGTCTTTTAATATTATGTTGTCTGACAGAAATATTGATGTCAACAGCGTTGATAGATAATGCACATGTAATCTTGGTGATGCTATTGAATATCATAACGTAATTGACTTAATTAATAACTTGTGTAAAAATATCAAGAAATTAATGCATTCGTCTTCGATAACCCCCCTCAACAACTAATTGTAGCTTCTCCCTATTTTGATGTTATCATCACGTTTTTTCTATTGTGAAATGTCCATGCCCAGCCTGTTTGGATATAATTTCGTTAGAAAATGAATTCCATTTCTTGTGAGAATCTAAATTCAAGTGGAAATTCATTTTCAGAGTTTATGTTTGGAACAAATCCTAAAGTTTTAGAAATGATTTCCTGTTTTTAATGTTTGGAGGATGGAAATGATTTCTTACAAGTGTTTTTACAGTAATACCCATATATTGGCCTAAATTCTTATCATCATTAAAGGCTTTCTTGCATGGTACATTAAACCGTACCGTACCGGCGGTTCAACCACAAAATACCAGTATCGGAGGCTAAACCGATAGGCGGTATTTAACGGTACTAACGGTTGAACTCTGGTTAAACCACGGTTTTGCCATAAAATACCCTACCGCTGACTTTTCCGGTACGGTGTCCGGCACGGTTTCATGGACCATGCTTTCTTGTAAAGATGTGCCAAAATTTGAGTGGGGTCCATCAATTCCATTTCTCCTTCCAACAATTCCGACCACTTTTGGTGGGAATTATAATTTCCAAATTTTTGCCTCTTGGAATTCCATTTCCTATTTATTTTTTACTTTCAAACATGGGAATTATAAAAAATTTGAAAAATTGAATTCTATTTCCTAAAATTTTAACCTATCTGTAAATGCCTTGGTCAAGGATAACATGTGGTTGTTGAGCACTTCTACTATGCTATATAGTATTGGTGCTTTAATGTACAACTTGAAGTTGTACCATAACATTAAATGTATAAGTTTAGATTGTACCATAAAGAAATTTGTATCATTATGTTATGGTACAACTTTACAACTTGAAGTTGTACCATCACATAAAAGTATAAGTTCAAGTTGTACCATAAAAGAATTTGTACAAAAAGTATAGATACAATCTAAAGTTGTGCCATAACGTTAAAGGTATAACTTCAAGTTGTACCATAAAGGCAAAAACTTATAGCACCAATGGTATATAGCATTGTAAAATTAATCGTGGTTGTTATCTCCTTTTGCATGGTGATTTTTATATGCAATGATATGTATATTAACAAAAGGAAGTAATGCACAAAGTGTGCATTCCAACAACAACAGAATTACAGAAGTACCAAAAAATGATGCAAATAACAAAGCCAACATGTTGTGCCCAACAATAACAAATAAAATTCATAAAAAAAATAATAATTAAGTCCCTAAATTTGAGATTTAGCAAAAAAACTCTACCCGAACTCCCAAATCACTCTTTATACACTTACCAAAAAACTAGTTTTTTTTGTAAGAACTAGTTGTTTTTCAAAAATATAGACTAAGAAACAATATGTAAAACTAAAATAGAAAAATCATGGAAATTAAAGGAGGTGACTAACCATAATAATTAATAGGTATTGGAGAAGGCTCCATGAAGTGAACGTGACAAAGAAAGAACCGAAATGAAATTGAGTCACATGTTTGAGTGAACCTGCAAATGGATTAGAAAATGGTCGATGAATTTCTTCTCGGTACAACAAAAAAGAAACTATTTGACAACTGAAAGTCGCACCTCACAAATTGTCAATTGTGGCGATGTTATTAAGATATGTCAACCACACAAAGACACAAATTTTGGTGGGAATCATTGATATCCATTACGATCTCTCTGAAAAGAGGATTGGAAAAGAGTATGGATCACCATGAACTACGAAGCCAAAAAACAAAATCGAATACCGATAACAATAGAGGCAACAAGATCAGAGCGTAACATGCCACCAAATAAACCACTATGTTATTAGCATGACCGACAAACTCCACCGAACAACCTTGAAAACCTCGACGCAAAATCTGAATTTCCCGAAGGATGGCTCCAACCTTAGCATCTACCTCGTGCCGAGCATTGAACCTATCGATCAGAACTTTTGCATCTCCAAAAACAACCAAATGATCAAGATGTCCACCAAGCAAGTGCTTTTAAGACTTATAGCAGAACTGTGTTCATGAATGGTACTTAGGTACCGTATCACCTGCCCATGTTATTAAGGGCCCTAGCCAGATTGGATGGTCATTGAAGCACTCATCACGTTTTTTAATCATCACAAGTTGCTAAACCCTTGTTATGAATGAACAATTGTTCACTAAAAGATCCATTTCCATGAATAGTGATTAAATGTTCGACCTTAGTTGATTCAAGAACATGGCAATCACTCATCATGTTACTCTCTCATTCTTCCCTCAATTTACCAAACATAGCCAAGGTAATTCGAAGGCAACTTTGAGATTGGAAGAAAAAAAAATCAATGTAGGGCCAAGAACAAGTTCCACGGTACCAATTTGTAGATCCAAAAAAAAAGGAAATTCTGAGTTTTCCATTGTACTTTCTAACCTGGTTAGGACATGATCATGTACAACCTCCTTCCTTCTCCCTCTTTCTGCTACATTAGCTCTCTCTCTCTCTCTCCCCCCCCTCATCTCTTATATACACGTGGAAAGGGTAAGGTTTTGATTAGTTTAGATGAGAAACCCTAACATGCAGCCCATTTGGGGCTTCAACTCTTGGAAACTTCATTAGTGTGTCCCCTCCAACTTCTTCCCACCTGCAAAAGTTTGGAAAACCCTCAAGTAAGCAAAAGATGGTTTCTTTTGGAGAGGAATATATATATTCAAATGTGGCTATGATAGGATATGGGTCTTCACATTTCCTATTACCTGTATCTAGTCACAAAGTAGTGTAGAAATGTTGAGATTTCTGCTATGCCTAGTTCCTTCCCTGGGCACTGCCTTGTACCCCCTCCAAATATGAAGAGATAGTTCTGAGATTCCAAACTCTTATCCTGCCAAATTTACCAAAGATAAAAAAGATTATTAGCAAATGAAAAGAACCCTTTTGGGAGACAATAATAAAGATTGAATCTTTACTGGTTTTGCAAGCATACCAGCCATCTCCATGGGTTGAAGGAAAATGGGTCAGGATATAAGCATGGATCATAGTTCATCTCTCTTGTATAGACATAGATTCTCCACCCTTTTGGGATCACAAATCCTGATGCAGCAAAGATAACATACAAAAGAGATAAGAAACCAGTAACATGCAAGAGAAGAAGAGAGTTGGCAATTCAATAATGTGAAGAAGAGAGTAGGCCTTCCCCACTCCCATTATTAACCAAGTTATGACCCACTACTGAATGGCTTGTAGTTTCTCTGAGTTACAAGCAAAATGGCCAATAATACACAAGAGAAAGGAAAAAGGGAAGGGGACAAAAGGGAGTGAAGCATGATCTAATCATCTTAAACTTGAGATTCTTTCACTTGTTTTAAGATGCCCCCTTTTCCAAGTAATTTTAACCAACAGTTTGTGAGGTGAGGGGGGCACCAATGGAATGTCCTAGCTGGATCAGTAGGTGTGCTATTCAAATCATAATAGGGCAACCAAGGTCCACCATGGAAAAAGAGATGTTGATCTTGATTTCCCCCATGGGCAGTTATCTTTTGGGTTCTTTCTTTTTCCCCTCTTTCTCTTTTGCACAGTTGTACAATTAGCTGTTTAACTTTATCTCCAAATCAGCCCCCTCCCCCCTTCTTGAGCCTCTCCATACACCAAAAAAGCAAATAGAATCTAAAGTTGACATTACACTTGAATAGTAGTAGCTCACCATTTATTTCCATTTCTTGAGTTGTCTTCCTTAATACCCCATTAACTATTGTAGCCAACCTTGAGGTCTCAAATATCACCTGGAAAAAAGTAGATGACAGAGTAACATATGGCTCAGCACATCATTCCTCAACAGCTTGAATCTCATACTTCGTAAAAGATGTAAGAATCAGAAGCTTCTCTTACCGCCCGGGTAAAACGCATCGACTTAAGGTCATCCATGTCAAGTGGATCCTCTGGCTTCTTTCTAGCTCTAATTGCTAGATGCTCTTCCTGCACATATACATTCAATAACCAAAATCCATCAGTAAAAAGGAAATGTGACTGAGTTTATCTCTTTTTTCATTTAATTGGTTCTTTTGAGGGGACTTACTCTAAGTTGCTGAAGAACTTTAGGGTGATCATGGAGATACTTAATAGCCATCATCGAAGTAGTCGATACCGTTTCATACCCCGAGTACAAGATCGTGATAACCTGATCGATAATCTCGTCATCACTCAACTTGTACCTATTGCTCTCTTCAGTGTTCATCAAGTAACCAAGCATGTCCAAGTGAGACTCCTTGGATTCCTTCCTCTTCACTATCAGCTGCCTGAGAATGCTCACGATGCTCTTCCTAGCCTGGAACCCGCGTCGATAGCTGGTTCCAGGAACGTCGATAGGGAGCGACAACGTGCCCAAAACAAGCTTGAAGAACTCGGGCATGAACGCCCCCGAGATCGACCCAGATTCGGGCCCAACTATCTGCTTAAGTGAGGAAAGCAATGCCATCTCCTTGGTTTTCAGCTGAATGTCAATGATTTGTGAATCCCAATTGCAGAGATGGGTTCTTATGAAATGGTCAATTGTCGGCAGCAAGTGGTGCCTGATCATGGTGGGACTAATTAGGGAAAGTAGAGCACCCCTCATGTACTTGTGTGTGGAGCCATGAACCGCTGCAATGTTGCATTTCCCCAAGATGTCAAGCATCGACTGTGGGTAACCTGGAACCAACCCTTTCCCTTCATTCATCAGTATGTACCTGTTCACATCTGGATCCATCGATACCACTGTCGGGCAGCCTAGAATGTGGGACTTGAAAAAACTCCCATACCTGTTGAAACAGAACACCCCCAAATCAAAAACCCATCTTCCCAAAATGCCAACTTTATCATACTTTATACAGAAAATGAAAGAAAACAGAACAGAGAAATGCTAGGTTATTAGCATTACAACCAATACTAGCACTAATCTGTTACCACACATTATGACAGCTAACAATAAAGGAGGAAAAGGGTAAGAAACCATTTTAACTAATTGACAACTGAAACAAACAAAAGGTAATCACTTGACAAGCGATTTTGGTGTCTCCCCTGTTTTCCAATCTAAGCAAATAGGAGATTGGAAACATGGTGGCAACAGAAAAGGACAAAAAAAAGCTGAAATGGGGAAGGATGAAGATTTTAAGGACCTTGCTCGTTGGTTCTTCATGAAGTTAGGGCCTTGCTTGAGGAACTCGGTGGTTTCTCCAAAAATGGGCCAACCCATGGTGCCAGGGGGCAAACCCTTCTTCTTGCTGAACCTGACCTCATTCCACCTCAACAGTAGAGCAGAGGATAAACAGAGGACGAGCAACAGAAGAACCAGAACCGCCACAAAGAGAACCGCCATTGATGATAATCTTTTGCAAAGGTGAGAATGGGAATGGAGGGAAGATAAATGAAGATGAGTATAAGTAAGAAGAAGGAAAGCCGCACGCCCCACACCTCCCCAGAAAGCAACAACAGAAGGAGGGGAAAGGGAGGTTGGGAAGTGGGGATATGGGCTGCTGCTCTGTTGTTGTTGCTCTGTAGGCTGTAGCTGTGAGTCTATGGACAGAGGCTTGCAGAAGTGAGCACATATATAGGCTTTTTTCTTGCATAAATGTCGAAGAGAGAGAGGGAGAGGGGGGAAAATGGCCAAATCATGCACCCTCCGGTCTAGCGAAAGGACCCTGCCTCTATTGCCTTTGGGTAAATAACATGGTCCATCAAAATCGTATCGTGCAAGCGGTTCAACCACGAAATACTAGTATCAGAAGCTAAATAGGTAGGCGATATTTAACGGTCTAACAGTTGAATTATGGTTCAACCACGGTTTTATTATAAAATATCATATCGCTAACTTTTTCGATACGATATCGAGTACGGTTTCATGGACCATGGTAAATAAAGGGGTAACTATCCAAAATGTAAGATAATTTTTCCATAAATAATGGCAAAGTATATTTTCATACTCACAACTTTCAAGTTTGTCACAATATTCGAAATACACAAAATAGTCTAAATTTTGATGATTGTTTGACAAATTTAGGTATTTCCGATACAAACTTTAGCGGTGTAGAGATTTCACCAGTTAGGTTAACTGCACGTTGACTAGGATACCAAATGAATGCACATGTCAGTGACAACCAGTCTCACTTGCCACGTAGATGTCACGTCATAATTTACTTTAAAAATATTTTAGAAAAAATACACTTCCATAGCCACAACTTCGCGTTTGTGACAGTTATAGCCACAACTTTTGAAATACACGAAATAGCCATAATTTTGAAGGTCGTTTCACAAATCTAGTCATTTCCGTTACAAACTTTTGAAATATACAAAGCAGTCGTGACCCTGTCCTCGATTTCTTCTCGAGACTTTGTTTGAGAGGGAAGGCGGGAACTCGGGCCAATTAACTGCGACGAATCGGGATTCACCGAAAACAAGAATAATTGAGTCGTGACGGTTTTGAGGAATTAGAAGGCAAATGCACTATAAGCAACCATGTTCTTCCTTCCTGACCAATAAGTCTCTGTCGCCACCAAAGACACCGTCTCCTCTATCATCTCTTCGTCGATGCCTTCTTCTTCGTTGTCGTCGTCGAGCTCCTTCCTAACAACCTTCTTGTCCTCTTTCTCGTCCTTTTTCTGTGACTACGCTAAACTACCGAGGCCTTCTTCTTAGTCCAGCGATGGGGATCTAAATCGGCAAATTGAGAAATAAGGTCTTCTTCTCCAGTCATATTGTTAAGTGACTCCGTTAAAGGGATGAACGGAAGTGGCTATTTTGTGTATTTCGGAAGTTGTGACTATGACTGTCACAAACATGAATGTTGTGGTGTATTTTGCTTCTTTTTTTTTTTTGGTTAGTTTACGTGGATTGGTGGGACGAAATATCGTCAACTCAGCATTTTCGTCATTCTATTCATACGATGAAGCGACATTGTTAAAGAGATGTGAATGTAAAAGTTGTGGCTATGAAAATGTAGTTCGCCTAAAATAATCAAATAGTTTAGCTTTTTTAAATGGGAGGGTAGTTGTGATAGTAGAGAGTCAAAACATTACTTTACATTGTTGTATTTGGGAATACATGTGTCATATTTGACTATTTGTGGTGATAAATTTGTAAATGTTTTTATCACCACCTTCTAACAATTATAAGCTGCATGTTTGGGAATCAAAGTTGTCAACCCGCAAGTTGACCTGGACCCGGTCGAGCTAGTGGGTCAAGAGTTAATGGGTCAACCGTTTTAGCCCGGTTTGGCCTGGAAATATGGAAAAAGTCATTATATTGTACCTATCCTCATAAATTATATCAAATCTTATCTAACATATGAGTTATAACATATAATATTACAGCAAAATAACATATCGTATATAGATCCAACATATAGTGAAAATTCACACACACTTATATAACATAAATATTCAAATGTTCAACTTAGCATTTCAAAAATTAAGCTAGGCGAAAAGAAAAATCGGAAAATAGGCGCATTTCGCAAACTAATGAAAAAAATGACACAATTTGACCTCCAACCCGGTACCTTGTAGCGGTCGGCCCGGCGGGTACGTGCGGCCCATTTTTCTCACCGGGTCAGGATCAAAGTGGGTCGACCCGCGGGTTGACAACTTTGTTGGGAATCCAATGATGTAACAACGTTATCGCATTTAACGTAACAATATGTTTGATTAACCAACTTTATCTCCAACATAGTCCTTTTTTTTCCTTTTATTTATGAGTTCATGAATCCTCAATGTAGTTTTCACTAATTTGGAGGTGGTGAAGTTTGAGGGTAAGTATAATAAGACATATGTCTAACCCTAATTGGTGAAACATTGTACAAAGAAGGTTGCATAAATGATATATAGGGGTAAACATAGGGGTAACCATTTACCCCATTGGGGTGAAAGAATAAATTTTGTTTTAGCATACTTAGATAATAATGACGATGATTGTCTAATAATTAGTATTAGACTATTGGACATAATTTTGTATTATGAATGTTATTTTCCTCACTTTACTAAGATGTGAGTTACACATTTTTAATATGTAAAATTTTATGTTCTTTTAAGTTGTTCGGCTTTGGTTGTTATTCACACATCTACATTCTTCGTTTTCATTCTCGATCTTACCACAACACATACATGCAGTGGCGTAGCTATAATTTTGCATAAGGGGGTGCCGATTTTAAAAAAAAAACTTTGTTAATTTCACTTTCCCTAAATCTGAAACTAGGCTTAAAATGGTTTGTCGGGAGAGATTGTTGTGACAGTACTGGTGTAGTCGAGTTAGAGTTACATGTAGGTGCACATGATGAATTATCTTTATGCCCTTGAACATTTGGAGTTGTTTTGACCCTTTTATCAAGATTTCTCTATGGTAAAAGCTACATATTTAAAAAAGTGGAGTAACCAACAAATTAATTGAAAAAACTCAATTATATTGGGCACAATAACAGTAAGAAGCCACAGTGGCAATCTCTACCTATTTGTTGGGCGGTGATAATGGAAAATTGGTCAATTGGGACTGGTGTGATGCTACCTATAGGTTGCCTTTGTAGTGGAAGCCTGGAAGAGAATTTGATTACTAGATTGGTTTGTTATCCTTTCCATACTTTTTGAATAAACGTGTTTGTTTTAATATTATCTTGTGATTCAGATTATTTGCGAATGAATTAATGTCGAATCGCAAATCAACCAGCCACGTGCCCACCCCTTCCATCATCAACCACCCATTTTGGAAATCGACATACCAGCCACTCTACAGCTGAGCATGAAGCACCGCATGCTTCCGTCCGACTTCTCAAATGTGAAACGTGGCCATCCTTTGCTTCCTTGTTTTGTTTTGGTTTTAAAGCTTTTCCTTGTGTGTTTTGTTTGTATGTCCTGTTTGGAACTTCAAAATTGGCACGACAAGTGCATATTTAGGGCTTATCCTTCACACGAGGGGAAGCTATCCGTACAGCTCTGTGTACTTTGCGTTGTATCACAGGTCTTATCGATTTGGTTAGAATGGTGTTTCATTACGAACATTGATTGTAATGAGACGATAGGACGTGGCTAAATAGACAGATTGTTTTGGTTTCTAGTACTATATGCATAGGATCTTATGTTATTTATCCATATGTACCTGTAAACAAAAACTTAGTTGTCGAGACCGGGCAGTTTCATTAGTACGATATTGTCTGCTTAGATCAAGCCTGCACGATTTTACTATTGGGTTTCTTCCTAAAAAGCCTCGTACTAACGAGCTGGGTAGACATTTATATACAAGGGTTTCTTCCCTTGTATTACTGATGTGGTACTTGGATTGTTCCATAACATTAGCACTTGAAGTTTTATACAGGTATATGATCAAAGGCCCCCCACATTATGTAAGAAAATGTAATTAATTCATCTTAATAGTTTGACAATTAAAATGCGAATCTTTCTTGATATCGGCATATGATTGAGTAGTTATCCGAAGATTAATTTTTCAGTCAAGTGATTATAGTGTCACACTTTGAATTTTTTAACAACTATTGAATTTTTAAAAAAAAAAAACTATAATTTTTCTAATTGAATATGAGCCATATCATTTTCTTCTAGTAAGCGTGAGAATGTATTTAATATTGATCACTTTGATACCAATAATCGAATTCCAAGTTTTGGTTTCTCTACTCTGACTTTTCTCGAGATATGAGTGATGCATGGGGTTGTCGTCTTCATTAGGTTAGGGGGCTATGTGAAGAGGAAACGAAGAAGAAAGGATCCATGGAGGGATCCTAGGAAAGGGACGGGACATAATAAGAGCACGAAATCTGCAAATTTCACTCATTTTCAAAAGTGGGCAAACTTTTTTCGTTCAGCCGTCGTTTTCAGAAAATTTAAGCCTAAGGGCATTGAATTAGGGTTTGGTTGATGCCTTGATGGGGTGACAGGGGGGTGTAAGGCTATAGATGGATGCCGTTGATCGTTGGATCGATATCTTCTTTCATATCAATCGTTGGTTTGTTGTGGATCGAACAACAAAGCGTTTACGTTTGAGGTTTTGAATGAAAATGAGAAGGAAAATGGGTCAATCTGTTGTTTGGTTAACTTTTTGCAGAAGAGATAGGTCGATCTGCCTCAAATGGCAAATATACTCTCGTGAGTCGTGTCTCTTGTATCTCTACTTTTGTAGTCAACGAGCCTCAATGTGTCATAAACCAGTTGGTCCCAATAACTCGAGGTGTTGGGAGAAGGTTATGATGGATCTTATACAGACTCATGTATGATACTTAACCACTTCCTTACACACTGTCTCAATGGTTTCCTTTTTTTTTTTTTTTCTTACAAATAAATACAGGACAGGTCTTGACCTATCTCTTTGGTCCAATTATCTCAAAATAAATCTATTGGGACACATTGCCATGTGTTTGTAATACATAATGGATGCATCAAATTGGTTCGAGACGATATAAATTGTTTCGTTTTGCATCAATTTGAATTGATAGAAAAAAGGAGAAAGTATTTTAGAAAAAGCAACGTACGCCCAAATGATCCCTAAGATAAGATCAACCATATGATTAATATGCACTCTCTTAACGAGTTATTTATTTTTATATATATATATATATACCATGACGAAAAATTATAGTACAATTCCGGG